GTCTACTACCATACTTGTATATTTTCTGCATCATTGATGACAACTTGATCCTATTTGCTGAGTCCTACCCAGCGGCTCATCCTTGCTCATCATCTCCCACCCATCACCACCCAGTCCCACAAATCACGCCTTGCCGATGTCAAAACCGCATTTCAGTGGGACCGACTCTGACCGACTCCCACCAAACGTGTATATAGAATGCGACCTTTGCAGGATCAGTGTCATCAATGCGATCACGGCCTGTCCCGCGCTAGCGCCAAGCTAGCAAAGTCACAGAAGCGCGGGTGGAGTGGAACTCAAGGTCCGATTCTCCGAAAAGGAGCGGAGGTGCTCACTCACGCTTGGCGGAATCAAACTCGGGGCGTTCCGGCAAGTTGTTCTTGGCCTCCAAAAAGAGCAATTTGTAAATCAGGCCGCCACAAAAGCCGACGTGGGCCGCGCCCCGGGTCCGGCGTCGTGCGCATGCCGGCATTATCTGGTTCCTTGCGAGTGCAGTGCAACAGGTGTTGCAAATCCTTCGATCATTGGTTCGCTTCTTCACGAACTCAGCACAATGTTATGTAACTTTAGTTGTCGCGGTACGTCGCGACGGCAGTCGCACTTGCTGGCAACCCATTGCAGTAGGCGAGCGGTTCAATTGCGATCCGGCGATGTGCGCAATGTGGTTCCCAGGGGGGAATAGAATAAGCAGCTGTCGGCCGTCGCCATTTAAAACGCAGGCCGGGTTTCACGGGCTCTTTCCAACCTCTCAAGATGCATTTCTCATTCACCACCACCCTCTCCGTGCTCTTCCTCGCCTCCTCCGCCTACGGCGCCGCACAGGTCAACTGGCACCTTGGGGCGGAATGCACGGGCGAGCTACTCGGGACGCACACCTTCGCTGGCGTGCCAGGCGACTGCATCTCCAACGAGCTGACCCGCACCGCGAAAAGCATCTCGTGGGAAGGGCTCCATGACCAGGACAATATCCAACTGATCCTCTTCTTCCCGACGGGCGGCGCGCACGACAACTGCATCAGTAAAACTACATGTCCATCTTGGGCATCTTTGGTCTTTGAACCTGGTCTTTGGTCTTGGGAAGGCATCTTTCGGCGTCTTGGGCTTGGAAACGGTGATCTTTGGTCTAGGGCTGTAGGCCGTCGCCGTATATTACGGCGTACGGCACGCCGTAATACGGCGCCGTAACCGTACCGTATGGCACCCTGGTGCGCAAGTGTACGGGACGGCGACGGGACGGCCGTGACGCCGTAATGACCGTCCCGTATACGGTGACGGTCGCCGTATACGGCGAAGGCTCGGCTAGCGCGCGATTTGATCCGGAGATCGTCGATCCGCCGGGTATCGGACCTCCGGATGCCCGTTGCTAGGGCCCAGCCGCTGTCGGTGGTCAGCCAACACGGCCTGGCTAGCCTCCGAGGCAGCCTAGCACTCCAGGCGGGCGCTTGGCACTGCCACCCGTCCCGGCCCGGTCGCTCGGAGGCACCTTTAGCCTAGGTCACACCCAGTGACCTAGCTGGCCGTCACCGTCACCGTAATACGGCGTGACGGCGCCGTCCCGTACCGTAAGCGCCTCGAGCTCGAGGGCTTACGGTACGGCGTAGGGCCGTCCCGGCGCCGTCAGAGGCCGTACCGTACACGGCCGTAGCCGTATACGGTACGGTCTACAGCCCTACTTTGGTCTTTGACACACCATCTTTGATCTTTGGATCAGCGTCTTGGCAAGAGGAAATTCACTAGTAGAATTTTTGGCCTTGTAAGCCATTGAAGGCATCTGAAAGCAACCTAGAACCTTGTGAACAAGTTGTGCACTCATATAGATGGGCATTTGCTGGAAGTTCAGCACATTGCTGGACCCGAGCCGTTGAAATGTGCTAAGTCCCTAGCCGGCGCACGTGCATCTGTCACTGTCACATCACATCAGTGCCACGTCGCAAAAAATGATACCACTTTTTGCGATTCTTCCTTCCCTTCCCCCACCATCTCCCTGCAGCGTCTCACTGAGATCTTTCGCCCATCCCAATCCTGGCGAGTCCTCCTTACAGTGCTATCTTCAAGTACTAACCAGCCTTCCACCGTGCTTCCGCCATCGTGCCCGTGCTGACGCGCAATGTGTATAGCTTCGACTGGCAGAGTGTCAGGCTTATCTAACTCCCCCATGAGCAACATTAAATATCAATCGACGTCTTGTATATCGTTCATTTTAGCCAAGAAACAAGGCATTTTGTTGCGCTGCTCTCAGGATGAAAGTTTAAGGAACTGTGCCGTTGGGGATTGTGCCCACTCTCCGAACCATTCGGCGCATACACGTAGTACACATCCTTCGGGCCCTCCGGGAGGCGCACGTACGCCAGAGTGCGTTGTTGCCGCTGAGTTAGGGGCCGCGGCTGGCGAGAATGCCGTCTGGTTGCTGCTGTGGTCCGTTGGGATGCAGAACAGCCCGGAGGCGGGCAGGGCGGCGCAGCAGGCATTAGGAACATGACGGGGAGAAGAGTGGTTGATAAGGTGCACGAGGGTGGCGACCGCCCTGGATGGATGGCCGCGCGCGAAATCCAACGGTAGTCTTTCCCTCAGCCAAGTTCCTCTGTTGAACTTCTGACATGTTCCGGTTTGGCCTGCCGCCCTGCAGGCGAGCGAGGTGCGCCAGGCGGTCGAACGGGCTGCATGCGTGGATGTCATCAGGGCTGTAAGCCTTGTTGCATTGTGCGTTGACGTTCCGGTGTGCGCGGTGCGTGTTCGCCGATGCTGGCCATGGCGTCCGGGCGTGAAACTCGGCCCGTGGCGCGCATCTCCGGCACCAACATGGGATTCCAACGCCAGCGGCGGGTGATTGAATGTAGGTGGGAATGTGGTGGGCTGAGCAGTGATTATATTTGTTGTCGTGGAACGGGAGCTGCTCCACGCAAGACCGTCCTGAGCGCTCGCCGGTGGTCTGATACCTAGTGGTGAGACGATTTTAATCGCTGCACGTACAGTACATGTTATTTCAATACTGTAGTATTTTACTCAGTTCGCATGTCACGCGTCACACTTGCTATAAAATTCGAATTTTTCTCGCATGTCACACTGTTTTGCTCAAATTTGTGTCCCAAAATAGCAATTTATGACGTTTCCAGGCGCCTCCGGCGCCAAGAACTTCCTAATTAGGCAATAATTCGAATTCAAATTTTCGTATCAAATGTCACGCCATTTTTGGCATTCGAATTGAGTAAAATACTACAGTATATGCCCCAGCAGGGCCAACCAACCCCGCAGCGCACCGGAGCCCGACACAGGACGACAGACGGGGGCGGGGCAACGACCGGCTCCGTCGGGAGAGAACCTGTGGCTCAGCCTCGCTCGTGCCCAATCCCCGGCGGGCGGCGGGTGGAAAAGTGGGGTGGGGGATGGGAAGAAGGTAAAAAAACGTGGGATGGCAACCGGCCTGATCGGGGGTGTCACCGGTCGCCACGCACGTGCACCTTATCAACCACTCTTTTCCCGTAATGCGCCCTGCCCGCCCACAGTATTCTTGCTAGCCGCGGCTCCTCACTCAGCGGCAACAGCGGCGAATCTGTCTACTTCGGCACTTACTACACTACACGCCCAAGTCCACCCTTCCGCCCTTATCGCTACCTACGACCAGCGCCCCACCACAAGCGACCTCACCCACAATGCCTTCCCGCAGACGCCTCCGGAACCGCCGAATAAACGCTAAGCATGAATCTGGTCAACCTGCTCGGCGACGACAACGCAGATACTCACAGATGGTGGACACGACGACGACGTCAACGACCAGCATGGTCCGGGGATGGCGTCAAGTTGGTTTCGGCAATGGGCGACGGGCGTATCGCTGCACAAATCCACCCGAATTGCACGCACCTCAAACTCATTGGGTAATGGCGATGTGTCATCAAAAGCACCCGCGGTACTCGTCCGCCCTCCTCCGGATCAAAGACACTGTGTTTCACTTTCACAGTTTTAACTTTCAACCTTCTGCTTTCGTTCTTGGCATTCTTCAAGTTTCGCACGAAGGTGCCGAAGCGTGGTGCGCATTATTGTCCAGGCCCGCCTCCGCTCGAGCCCTGGGGCGTGCAGGATCAAATATGATGTCCCTGCCCGACTGGGCACAGTCCGTCGTGTCCCCGAACGATGGGTCGCTGAGATTATAGCGCACGCCGCCCCCCGAATGCGCCATCATTGCCAGTGCAGGATAGTTGTTGCGGTACGTCGCGACGGCAGTCGCAATTAATATTCATTGGAGTCGACTGTCGCTGGGGTTTGCGATCCGGCGATGTGCGCGATGTTGTTCCCAGGGGGAGCCGTGGGCCGTAGCCGTTTAAAAGGCAGACCGGGTTTCACGGCCTCTTCCCAACCGCTCAGCATGCATTTCTCCATCACTACCGCCCTCTCCGCGCTCTTCCTCGCCTCATCCGCCTACGGAGCCGCCCAGATCAACTGGCACCTTGGGGCGGAATGCACCGGCGAGCTGCTCGGAACGCACACGTTCGGTGTCTTGCCAGGCAACTGCCTTTCCTCCGCACCGACCCCCGACCAGGGCCGCACCGCGAAAAGCATCTCGTGGGAAGGGTTCCGCGGCGTGGAAAATGTCCAGAGCATCCTCTTCTTCCCGACCGGCGGTGCGAACGACAACTGTTCTGGCAACGTCCGGACGGGGAGCAACGAGACGTCGGGCTGCATGACTGCGCCAGATGGGTGAGTGTCGGGTCGCTCGTGCTTGCGCCATAAGCTGACGCGGAATGTGTATAGCTTCGACTGGCAGAGTGTCCTCCTTGCGTAAACCCCGCATGACATAACGTCTTGCATGAACGTATTTCGTCTTGTATGATCGTAAGAAAATGCATTTTGTGAATCGAATGTTCAATGAACTTTGCGGATGGATTCTGGATTGACGGATCAGTCCACCGACTTCTACGTACTAGTACTGGGACCACTCGTCAAGCCAGATTGTGCAACAGATATAGATTCGAGAGGCACTATCAAAAACAAAATGTCAACTGGGTCTACAAGAACATGCGCAGCGCGGCCATGCCCGTGACGGCCCCCACGACGAACTGCGCGACCGGCGCGGCGAGGCGCTCACCGGCCGACGGCTGCGAGGACGAGCTCGAGCCGGCCCCGGTGTTGGGTGAGTTGATACCGGCGCTGGCGGCGACACTGGCGGGGCTGCTAACCGCGAGACTGGCGCTCGCGGAAACTATGGGCGCCACGCTCGCACCGCTGGCAACTGATGAAACAATGGGGGCTGGAAACATGCCTTAGTGAAAATATAGACGCAGAGGAAGCAAGTTCCCTTACCCACGGCGCACGCGGCTTGTTGGACGGCGGCGGCAGCAAGGGCCTCTGCCGCAGTGCACTCGTTTTGCACACAGGTCATGGAGGACATTTGGAAGCTGGGGTTCGTACACGTGCACGCGTAGTTCGTGCTAAGCGCGATTCAGCCAGTAAAATCAGGGGGAAAGCGGTGAAACATACAAGGTTCCACATGAGCTCGACACAGCCGCAGCGTTGAGGCAGCTTGTGACACAGGGGGACAGGGTCCCGCTTGGCGCGGGGACAGCAGCGCTGGCGTCTTTGCTCGGGACCAGGGCGGAGCTTGGGACAGCGCCAGAGGGTGCGACGGGCATGTCGAGCACGCTACCGGAAACGGCCGCGACCTGGGCCGCGACAGACGGAATAATGCGCGCGGGGGCGCCGCCACCATAGACGAATGGCGCTGGGGCTGGGACCGGGACCGGGATGATGGCGGAGACGAGCCCAGCGTTGGCAACGAGGAGTGGCAGGGCAAGGGCGTACATCGTTAGGAGTTGAAGTCGTTAAGGGTGAGTGTGGGTGATGTCTTGGAGAGGCACGGAGGACTGCTGCAAGTGGTGCCGAGATTTTATAGCCGTTCTTCGTGTTTCGGCACGGGTCTGCGTTCCGCGAGACATTGGTGGAGTAACGGAGGTGTTAGACGGCCGCGGTCAGTCATAACGGAAGCCTTGTGTGCTGAGACAACGGGTGCGGCAAGGCGAAGGCGAAGGTAGTCGGGTGGTCTCACCAGCCTAGCCAGAACCATCGTCGTTGGGAAGAAGAGGAATGACGTGGGAACCTGGTAACCAATCTTGATACCATCATTTTGTCAACGACTCTTCTTCTTGACAGTCATCTGCAAATTGGTCCTCGCTATACCCAGCAACTAGGATCCACTATCGATGTGATACGGTACCGCCACGCGTCATTGGGATGTGTCTGCCGATCGGGTTATCTGTACGTGATTCACTTGCATTGCATTGTCTTGATGCTTTTCCAGCGGTCCTCCCCCTGAATCACTACCTGCCACCGAGGCCTGGGGAACGCTAGTCTCTAGTGTGCAAGGTCCGACCATGAACTCTGACTCGGAATTTGATGTGGGAATTTCGAATTCATCGTTGCAAGGCCTTTACCACTAGTACTTCAAGTTTACTGTAACTTACTCATCATATCTCATCAGGACTCCCAATCCCAATCCTGCTCTCCCTCCTGGAGCACAGTGATTCCGCTGTACCGGATGCACAGCACCGGCGGCTCGCATGACCATTTCTACACTTGCGCGCGCGTCGTCTCCGCTTCCGCCTGCTAAAGACTTAAATGCGCATCTTCAGTGTTAATACGTCGGAGGTCCATAGGCCAGCCTTCTCTGCGTATGGCCTCGAGGGCGCCACGGCACGCAGCAAGGCGCATCCCAGCCGCTGCTCCGGCCGTGCGACGTCACGAACTGATGTCATGTCTACACGTAGGGTCTACACACAAACTACCGGCTCAGCGAAGTCAGCTCCGGCATCTCCTCAGAATGGAGGCTCTGGCAGGTCGATCTCCGGGAGCGACGGGTCGGGGTTGCTCACGAAGAGGCGGACGCTTTTCCACTCGCCACTGCGGACGGGTCAGGCGGGGTCTAATCAGCATTACAGGGGCAGCACGCACCCGTTCGGCGCGTTGCGGCAGGTGCCTTCGGGGATATTCTCGCCGTGCCCGGTGCAGCCCGTCCCGGTGAACAGCACGGACCCGACGGTCGTGAGCTCGTGCCATCCGACGCTCCGGATGCCGCTCCCGAGGTTCACGCACTCCTGCTGGGGGCCGGGCTCCCGGTAGATCGACCGAACGCGGTCCCGGCAATCTGGGCTTAGGTTCCCGACGATCTCGAAGGCGTCCGCGGACGCCGCAAGGCAGAGCACGAGCAGCGCGGAGAGGGCTCGTCAACTTGGTAGGCATCGCTGGGTCGGTTCTGTGCAAGGTAAGCATGGGCGTGGGAAAGTATGGTGCACTACCCTGTTGCGTAGAGTGGAAAACTGGCGATCAAGTGGCCGCCGTTGCCCAGTATGTATTTATATGTACACGAAACTGCCCCAGTGAGCTGCCACGCCAGTGTATCCACGGCAAGGGCGAGACCCTGCGCACAATATCGGGTAAACTTGAACAACACTGCACTCGTGACAAGCCAAGCCGCACGGAGGACACTGAGCTAAGGTGACCCTGCTCTGTGTCAAGTCTCCACGCCGCCCGGCCGACGATTCCGGAGGCCAATAATTTACGTCGCCGTGAGCGCATCAGAGCCCGGGCCGCCCCGAAATGCTGTATACGGATCAAGGGTAACCCCGAGGTTACTGCCGCACAGTACCGGGAACAAGAACGCCGCACATTTTCAAGTTTGTAGTATTTGCAACCGGAGCTCTACCGTCTCAACCGACCCTTCGTTAAAGCAAGCCCCAAGGGCCCAAGCGGATAATCTGATCATTCAGCCCCAAGTTGAAACGAGATGTTTCAAACACACGTCCGACGGACCGACGGTATTTACAGCCTCGAGAAGCTCTGAAAACAACTAATACTTATTCGTGAATGCCTAACAGTTGGAAATTTAAAAAGATAACAAGTGCTAGCTAAATAAATATAACTTGAATATGAATTCCAGATACTATACTGACCTATTTTATTCAATCTGACAGTCACATGTCACACCCCTCTAATCTGACGAAATTTTTTTGTCAGTCACACCAAGATGCTGAAATTTTGCCCAAAACACGGCCAAAATGGTAATTTTCACATTTTCTGTACCCCATTGTATATAGAGCTTGGTGAACTATTGAGCGTAACTTGTGCATGATATCTAATATGAGTGGTATCAGGTATCGGTTCTTGATGCAGTGTTGGCTCTAAGCTCTAAGGCTTAGAGGGTGTCTATACCCTAAGGCCTTAGACTAAGGCTTGGGCTAAGGCTTAGATATTGGCCGAAAATCTTCGGAGGGCTTAGAGGGCTTAGAGATCGCGTAATATGTATGACATATGACCGACGCGGCTGACAAAAATTCATCGATTATTATCGGCCCATCTTCCCTTCACCACCAACCCGTTGACACAACGAGCCGATGTCACCCCAAGATGTCAAGGCAATGGCGGCGCCAATCTCGGGTTGATAGTTACCCAATATCATATTACTGTCAAACAGAAAATGTCAGATCAACGTTCTAGAGCTGTATTTGGGATGTTATAACCTACATCGTGCCAACATCTCGCTTGATGTCCACCAGATGGGCGCGGAGCAAGCGCGGAACATGCATCAGCCCATCAAGATGTAACATTATTTCATCGTGTGACAATAAAAGATGGCGCCACTTGTGGCTTTTTCTTTCCTCCGCCCACATCCCCCTCCCACTTTCCCCTCAGTGGCACTCGCCCCCACTCTTCCCTCCCGCGCCAAGACAATAGCGCTCCGCCCGCTCCGCCATGGCATATAAGGAAGAGCTGGCTGGAGTTGGGAGGCCGCCGTTGGTGCCATGCTGTGGGCCTGGGCTAGGTGCGACACCTTCGTCTCTCCGGGTTGTGTTTGGCTGACGCGACGCCGGGTAGCCCAGCCATGATTCACGTTGTCAGTCCTTTTGGACAGCGTCCAGACTCCCCACACCCACGGTCGCAACGCAGTCTTGTGTTTGCTGTTAACGGTGTGTCTCCCTTTCCCCAGGCCCACTTTTCTTTCCAACGCTGATATTGCTCATAGTGGCGCTTGTGTTTCTGGCACGGTCGTCCAGCGCATCCCCGCGGGCACCCAGTTCATCACCGCTCGTCCAAGGCGGACTGTGCCTTGCGCTACTGCACCGAGAACGGTTTGTCCCCCTCCCTATCGTCCCCCTTCTTCCCCGCTGACCTCCCCCCAGCTGGCAAATGCGGTGCCCGTGGAGTCGCTGAGGGCCGGCAGTGCTGCTGCGGCCCACCCTTCAATCCTTTGGGCGCAACCAGCTTCAGCAACGGTGCGGGCAAGCAATTGATCGGCGGGTAGTGTCTGAGCGAGAAGGATGCGCCGGCTCGTTGGGCAACTGCTGCGCCCCGGTGCGGCCTCGGTGTACATCCATAGCGCACACATAGGGTTGCAATTAGTCAGTATATATTATGTATGTAGTTACTACAGCACAATATACATTATTGCCTGTCTTTTTGAGTGTTCTGTACCATTCAGTAGGCATCCCCCATTTGTCACAGCCTTGTCTGGCGCTGGTCCACCTCAGGATGTCTGTATGATATCCCTTGTCAAACAGATGTCAGGAAGATATGCGCATTCAATTTCGTCCTGACATCACGGATATCCGATCTTGATGTCACAACCTGATGTCAGGCGACGTTTTGGCATGACATCGGCCAAGTGTCATGCCGGGTTGGTGGTGTTCTTCTGCTCGTCTTCCGTCGATTCCACAATGCCTCCAAGCTGTGGGACCACTTCCACCCGCTCGACTCGATCCAGGAGAAGAAGAGCCACAAACGGGCGGCATGTAAAGGCTGTGTGAAGCATTTCAAGGATAATCCGCCTGGAGACTGGCAAGACTTGATGATAATCCCATTCAGCTTCTGATGGTCCTGTACGGGAAATAGCTTCCTGTCCTTCTTCTTTACGAAGAAGAATGGGGACATGTAAGGGGACTTGGAGGGTCGAATCGATTATCCGCCCAGTGGCCAGGTGTTCATTTATAAATGTGTTGAGCTCCTTCTGCTCCTCACCCCACAGCGGGATGCAACAGCCCTTTACGGGCTCGGCATCTGGGTGAAGCTCAATGGCGTGATCTTTTCCCTTTGGTCTTTGCATGATAAACTCTGAAAAGATTGTGCGGATCTGGTTGGCCGATGTGGCCCGGTTTGGGCACATATGACTAATATGTCCTTCTTAGTTGTAGCAGCAAGTGCTGCGGGTACCCACCGGTTAGGCGCGGGCCTCGGGTAGCCCGTGATCCCGCAGGCCCGTCGACATGGTTGGCGCTTTGATAAACCGCCACGCTGCCTTTAACACATCAAAGATGTGGCGATGGACACTGCAGATCTCCCTGTTGTCGTCCAGCTGCACCCCGGCGCGGGCGTCGGTGGGCCGGCCGGCTCCGGCACCTCAATGGCCGAGGCCTGCGGGCCCAAGCCCAGGCCTGCAATTTACAAGGGGCAGGCCCATACCTGCACCCGAGGTGGCCCGTACCCGCAGCCCATGGCAGGCCACCTCACCCGTGACAATCACTAGATGGCACGTTGGCGCAGTTGATCCAGAAGTTGCACGAGGCGGGTTTTTAAAGCGCTCCTCTCCCTTAGGGTGCTGTGAGTAATTCCTCAGGAATTACTCACAGCTGTTTCGAAACTGTTTCAAAACACCCCCCGTTTCGAAACTGTTTCGAAACCGGCCGCTTACCGGGGCCGGACCACCCGGCGCTCGTAGCCGGCGATGGTTCCAGTCGGTCCGAATCCAGGCCAACTGAGCTTGGCGACAGGAACTCCGCGGAAGTCAGGAGAGTCTCCCTTGGCCAAGAAGACAGAG